ATGTTTAATAATAATTATATGATATATAAAATATGATGTAAACTTTTATTTTATTAAATTTATCATATAATTATTATTAAATATTTTGACACTTTTCATATCAAGACGTCATGATTTTTCTTTTTCTCAATATATATTCTTAACTAAAAAAGCAAAATTTGTCTTGGCAAATTCACAGTCAAAAGTGCAGATTTCCTTGCCTACAAACATATTAATGGAACATATATAATGGAAAGAAATAACTCTGTCTCTCCTGCAGAATGGAAACATCTTTGGAAACTTAAGTTACCTCTCAAGGTCAAGGTTTTCTTATGGAGGGCTATACTTAACAGATTACCCACTTTAGATAATTTATTAGCCAAGAGGGTTGTGAACAATGTTCTTTGCCAAATCTGCCAACAAGCTGATGAATCCTCGATACATATTTTATTTTATTGCCCTTATGTAGAACCAATATGGTTTGGTTCAGCCTTGGGTCTTATTCCAAGGAAACTAAGGTTGCGAAACTTTGTGGAATGGTGGAGATATTTGAATACCGCTGCAAAACAGACGAGTACTCCTTTTCTCATTGAGCAGTGGGCAATTATCAGTTGGAATGTGTGGAAGGCAAGGAATAGAAAATATTTTGAGCAATCTGAATTCAATCCTAATCAAATTCTCATTCGGTACAATGGAATGTTTCAGGAATACTGTTTGTGGACTAGCAAAGACTTGCTCAACCCTCCGAAGAAGACAATGGTGAGAAAACAAATTCATTCATGCTGGACTCGTCCTCCACCAAACTTCATGAAGATTAATGTCGCTGCCTCCTATGCATCTAAATCTGGTTTGGCTGCATTAGCTATGGTAGGTAGAAACTCTAATGGAGAGCTTCTAGTAGGAAGGACATGGCGCTGTTCTGCTTCCTCTCCTCTTATGGCTGAAGCCACTGTTCTTCTAAGGGCGATACAATCTGCCGTGGACATGGGTTTGAATTATGTGATCTTCGAATCCGACAATGAGGCTTTAATCTCATGTGCACAAGGAGCTTCCAAGCCTTCCCCATGGGAAATCAGTTCGATCATACACAACATCAGAGGCTTATCTTCCTCCAAGCCATCTTACTCCTTTTCTTTTGTTCCCCGTGAAGGAAATCGAGTTGCAGATTGGGTAGCCTGTGCTACAATCAGAGAACAATGCCCATATTATTGGGCTCATTGTCCTCCTAATATTTTGATGACATTACTACTTAAAGATTCTGTAACTTAAACTTATGCTAGTTATCCTGTTATTAATACATAAGTTTTCCTTCCTTCAAAAAAAAAAAAAAAAAAAAGAGAAAAATTTGTAATTTATTGGGCGCGGAGAACTTGGGCTACCCGTTCACTCTCAGTCCAACAGAAGGAATTGTATGTTCTCTTTCCGACCCAAAGGAAAATAATCGATCCGCCTCTGCTCTGCTATCAAACACAAGTCCGGCCCACCATTGGAGTCTCAAAGCCAGCTCAAACTCGTTGCTCGCACGTAAGAGGGCCAGGCATATTCCACTCTAAGAAAGGATTTTAATGTACTTTTATTTTTGTGTTATCTATTTTCCTCTATTTATCGAAAATAATAATAATTTTTAAAGATTTTATAAGAAAAAAAAAAAAAAGAATAAAGGACCTTCATGTGAATCTAAGGGCACCAAGATTACACCTTCTCAAGCCAGCTTCATTTGCATATGAGGAGTGCTACGTGCACTCAGTGTGGGCCCAAGTGCACAAGCACTCCTCATTTCAATGACTGCTTTCTTCTCTCTCTTTTATTTATTTTTCTTTTTTCTTTGAAAGAAAAAAAAAGTTAAAGCACTTGGTTGTGCCTTAGCATTGCCCTTTGCAGATAATTTATCTCATAAAAAGGTAAAAAAACTGAAGAAAGATAGGCTTCCCTAAGCAAAAAATTGTTATGATGAAGTCATTCTAGTCCCAAAATTAATTTGTTCGAACTTCAAAGAAAATGAAACAAGAAAGGAGAACACTTGCAGCCATAGTATTGCAAGATATCATTACAATTACCATGATACCAACCTGTACTGTTGCAGCAGTTATCGTATCAAGAAGGGTATTTGTAGTGTAACTATTTGATTGCAACCTGATTCGCCTTGGATCAATATCAACTGAGCTTTTAGACCAAAATGCCAAGGTAGATGAATCAGTCACCTAATGAGAAAGCACAGATGTAAACATCATGGTCAAATATTACAACAAATAATTCATAAAACAATTTTATAAACAAGCACAAAAAGATATTAACTCACTTCACATCTTGAGATGGTCTCAAGAGGATATATTCTCAGTGTACGACTGGTACTAGGATCCAGCATTCGAATACCATCCAAACCAATCTGATGGGAAAAATAGACCAAATCATAACCATATGCTTCATAAGTGACAATAACAAAAATTTTGAGATAATAATAAGGAACAATAACTTTCTCAAAAACAATATTACATCAATGTTACATACTGATAATCAAAAGAGAGTCCCTAGTATGGGACACTCCATGAATTGTGGTAGCAAAAGAATAGGAAACTGCAGGAGAAATGAATTCAGTGACAAATTCAAATTCTGATGCACCATTGAATTTAAAAAGAAAAGTCATCTCCATGGTTTTCAAGGAGCCTATCTAAGTGCTGCCTGATGCCAAGGACAGAAATTAATCTGAAAAGAAAATTTGATTTTGATCCAGGACAAAGAAGAATAACCCTACAAAGACAAGCAGAACCAGAAAGCTGAAGGGAGACAAGGATCAGAATCAGATTGTCACACAACTAAACCTTAGCACACAACGATGAAGATGAACAGTGTGAAGCTTAGTTAGTTTTCAGAACCTCAGGCAGATACGTAAGTTTCTCAATGTTGGCAAAACGTTTATTCATCTCCATTACAGCAAAATAATATTGTGCACCAATATCAAATCCCATAAGACAAAACCATCCAATTTGGTGATCAACACATTAAAAATAGAAATCTTCATGATCACCAAGAAATAAAAGTGAAGAACAGGAAACCAATTGACACTGAAATAGACAGAGAACCACCGTACAAGCAGTGTCAATATAAAGTTATCATCCTGCAGAAGCTCGGGACTGATCCTGAGCCTAAGGGCTGAGACCATAGTTCGGGAGTGCAACTGCTTAATTACTGTTAAAACCGTAATCTCTTTGTTTTTGGCCATTACAGCCGATCAGTCACGTCTAGATGAAAACTAGAACAATCTTTAACATTACCAAATAAATTTAGCTTGCACCACTTCAGTCATCTAACCAGCATTATCAAACCGAGAGGCAAAAAATTAGCTCTCCAAGCAAAAGCCGAAAACAAATTAGTTCTTATCAAGTTTAAGCTGAAAATGAGACCTAACAAGAGGATACCTGGCAAAGCACATCCATGGTGCCCTGTCCACCACTTTCAGGCAATAACTTAACTCGAAACTTCTGCACTCCACTCTTGACATCCTGCTGAGTATCTGCCTTTGGCACAGCTCTGACAATCTTAGGTGAACCCAAAGCTGATCCAACGGAGGAGTCCTTCCCAGAAGAAAAACCAATAGCCCGCCCATAATCATCGAATATGGCAGAAGAAGACGACTTTGGAGCCGTCCCACGTGCCCCATATGGCTCCGCCTTGCCAGCTTGATAAGCATACACATCGTCCCCATATCCATCATCGCCAATTCCTGAATAGCTCTCTGGTCGATTCCCGTAACGATCCGATCCCAAATCAGATCTACTTCTACTATAACCCCCATATTTATCATCATAATGCCCGCTTCCACCATCAAATTTCATCGAATTCTCGTACTGGTTGTCGTACACAGGTGGAACTGATGACATCGATGATCCCCCAAGGGAATACGGGGCTGAGTAGTAGGATGGATGGGGATTAGGTTCTGGGTTTGGTGGCGCAGGGGCGTAATTTGGAGCCGTCTGATCATAAGGTGGGAAATACGGTGGCTGAGATACAGGAGGCTGGTATGCTCCATGCGAATCATATGGCGGGAACGAAGGGGCTGAGGTCAACGGTGGTTGCGGTTGTTGATTGAAGCTGGTATGCGGACTAGGATTTGTCGCCGGCGGCGTTGTGGATGACGGTGGGGTGTATGAGGGAGCGGTGGGAGGGACAGGATCGGAATTGTGAGGATACGGAGGATAATTCGGTGCATAGACGGAGTAATCAGACGAGACGTATCCAGAGGTGAAAGGCGGCGCCGATGCGTGCGGCGGTTGGAGCGAATCGGTGGAGCTGGGATTGAGGTTGGGATTAGGATTTGGAAGGTGAGAGAATTGATAGTAAGCACTGTAATCTCCTTGTTGCATCGCTGATTCTTTAAGAATTCTGCTCTGTTGGACGATACAGAGATGAATTTGGGAAATTCCCTTATGTTCTTCGGTTCTTCGTATTCGATGAGGCACGCGGAATGGAAATTATGGAATAGCGTTAAGACGACGGGGACAAGCAAGGTGAGAAAGCGAATGCCGCCAATGGGTTCGGGTAGTCATATGTCCGACCCGTGTCAGTCCGGGTAGGATGTACCAGCACAAAA